TTATAAGCTGGTCATATGTTTTGTATATAAAATGTATATTTTATGTAATAAGTAAAGCTGTAAATAAATGAAGGAGTAAAAAGTACTATATAAGTATAAATTAACATAAAATAGAAGCAATCAAGTAAAAATGTAAGTGCTTAAGTACAGTACTCGAGTAAATGTAGTTTGTTACAATCCACCACTGATTTTCCTGTGTTGACATGTGTAAAATATGCACAATTTAAACAAAAATTAGTGAGCAACGAGGCTAAGTAAAATAGTTTGTCTTCAAATCCTTTATAATGATAGAATAACAGTTGTGTTTAGGTTTTACAAATTACACACCACTTTTAAGGCTAATGACCATGCATTAACAATGTATAAGGCCTTCACCACCATTAAAATCCTCTCCATATTCTCCTTTCTGTATGTTTATGTTTTCATAACAAACAATTACCAAATACTTCTGTCTTAAGTTTTGAGTTTCCTCAAATAAAGACTTAAAAAAGAAATTTGCTGGTACAAAGTCTTATGAGTCAGGTCTTAACAAACAGCATGTGTTTCCTATTTTGTGGTTAACATTAGCAATTATTCGATTTTGGAAAAAAAAATGTCTGTGACTGTTTGTGACAAAATGTCAACGTCAATCTCCAGAACACAATTCTGCTCTGATTGAGACTTAAGTTCCTCAACTCTAAATCAGTCTTGAATGACACATGGCAGAACTTGTTTGAGCTGTGTAGGCTCTGTATTCAGAAGGAAAGCCTTTTCTTCTCACTCATGTTCCTCTGCCTGAACCCTCTAAGCCTCTACAGCCAGCGGACTGGAGAGACACTGAACATGAGTCCTAAATTACAGCCTTACTAAAGAAACAAAAACAAACCAATAGAGCGACCTGTTTCTTATTACCAAACAAGCCGCGCTGAACGAGTGGAGAAAGGAAAGGAGGAAAGAAACAATTTTTGTTTTAGAAAGACAGAAAGGGAGGGAAACAGAGAAAGGGAGAGAGAAAGGTGATATTTACTTCAGCTCAGTCTTACCTTCTGAAGGAAGACAGCTTGTGCATTGTTTTTTTTTACACTTTAATGAGGCAATAAATATACAGCCTTTAACTCTTTAAAGGAGAGGCCGCCTCAGAGCCCGCCATTTATATTATCAGCTTTTATGGACCTGTCAACACTCAGTCCTCTTTAGTTCTTTCTTTTTTTTGTCTTTTCTGGCTGAGGCACAACTGCATTTCATATGCCGTGTTACGTTGCAGTTTTTATGAACTCGACATTCCACCAAATTACGCATTTATTTTTCAAGTGCTAAAAATTCAGAGCACCGCCTGTACTTAACAGAAATTACTCAGGTTATTATCAAATAAAAATGGCTTTATAAAAAAAATGAAATAAAAAGAAATCAGAGTACAGACGTTTATTGCATGGGAAAACAAACGGGCCTTTAATGCAATGTAAGCTGCAGCTATTAATGTTTTTAATAGGTAATAAAGAAGGGAGTTCTTTATTTTGCGCCTTGGTGAGGCTCTTTAATCTAATGAACGGCAAAGAGAAAAAAGGAACCAGGGAGAAAAAGGGAGAATTCTGTAATGTATCACAATAAAGCAACTTTGACAAGTCTATAATCTCAGTCACAAGTTATTTGCTTTTGGTGAAATGTTAGCCCGATGCAAGTGGCAGACACTGTAGTCAGTGTTTGTTCATGGCATGATGTGTGTTATGTTTTTCATGCAATTTTCCACTTGTATGTGAGTCTCATAATTCACAGGCATTGGGATATTCATTAACCTTTGGGAGACGCAGAAAAACAGCAGACCTTTTAATTGCCACCAAGACAACGTCACTCTAATTGATCCTTTTAAATATGAAAATTTACATATGTGCATATATAATCACCCGCAATGATCTTGCACCCTGTCGACAGCAACAATTAAAATGAAATTCACTTACTCTTCCCTGTTTGCGAGCGGGATGTGTGCACCGCATTTCAAATCAAGCCTAATGTGCTAACGCCTCGCACACCTACAGAAGGCTGGCATTAGACTTGTTTAAATCAATTAGGCAAATGTGAAATAAGCAACGAGTACAAATGTCTTCCCTTTTCACCTCGGAGCTTCCAGGCATCAGAGTAATGGTGTCAATCATGCACTCGCACACATACATATGAGCTACCCACCCCCTCCTCCATCTTCATCTCCGTCCTTTAGTTGCCACCAGCCCTATCCACCTCCATACCTAACCTTACCTTCTTTACAGACAAGATACAGGACCATGAAAAGTATTTTTGTTTGTAAATGCAACCATAATAAGGAATAGATGTGCAGAGGTCAGACCCTCATATAAATAAAAGAGGAGTCTGTATGAAAACTTCTTCATTGGTGCATTTAAGAGAAACATGCTCTTTTCAGGATTGCTGAATAAGTCTTTGTTAAATGTCAAATGCAAGGTGTTGAGACTTCAACTTTTATTTCAAGTTACACAATACCGGAGTTTTTGATCTTTAAAAATCACAACTTCCTTTTCATAAACTAAGAAAATGCACATCTATGAAAATTGGTTTCCCTGATTAGCCAAAAGAAAGACAAGAGGTAGTGTCATAGTTATTTTAATTTCTTCAAAAGTGATTAAAGAAAAAGAAAAAAGTCTACAGTATACATGGGAACACTACAATGCTCCAAGAAGAGTAGAGGACAAGACACAATAAATACCAATATTTAGAAATGAGCAAGAAATTTCTCTATGTAACATAAGTGGTCATGAGTTTCTGGGGGTCCTGTACTTTTTCAAAGGTCAGTACATAATTCCAGGTCTCATGTAAAGCACATTGCAGCACTTACTGTATACATGCTAATGGTTTAATAAGACACTAGGTACATCTGTGCAAACTTGACTACAGTATAATTGTATAAAACCTCCGTAAATCAGTGGCAAAAGTACTTACCAAAAGAGGTCACTCCACTGCCTGCTTTATCAAAAAGCAGAAAAGCAACCATGAAGAGGGAGTCTGGGGCACACAGCACTGACTCGAACGCTACAAACTCCTGGAAGGAGATCAACCTGAGAGAGGAGAGAAGGGTAGAAAGAAAGAGGATAGGTAGGACTGTAAAAGACTGGCAAATGCTGTCATTTGAGTTAATTTATTAATTAATATTCATGTTTCAAGTCCCCTGTATAAAAACTTATTCAGCCACACGACTTTGATATTCATTTAGTCATATAATACATAATAAAGACTTAACCTAAGTTACACTAATAAAATGGAATATTAAACTAAAAAACTAGTTATTTTAACACTGAATTAAACTATGAACTCCATTGTAATTACTGCCACACAGTGGCAAACCAGCACACTTAGACAACCTATCAATCTGTGCTACGCGTAATTCAAGCGGCCTTTTATCCAGTAGTCTGTTATTCCATATGTAATGTCATAAACTCATCGAGTGTGACAGTAAGAAAATAAAACATTTTTAACAGCTCAGTGTGTGTTCCCAGTCTAAGCTGGCAGCTGGTATAGAAGGCCAACTTTACACCAACCGAAAAAAAAAAAGATTAAATATGAAGTTTTATATTTTAGTGTGCCATTTTAAACAAGTAGACAGGCAAGGACGGAGCTGCAAGCCAATCATGGAAATAAAATTCCACTCAATATAAACGTAATACAATATGCAGTTTAGAGTGAAAGTCAAGAGAAGTCAAGGTGGGGGAAAAAAATGAAATGATGGAAATTGATTTGTCTGCATCAAGTTATGAGTTAAAAGTAAACTCAACAGATCAGTTTCCTCTTTATATCACTTCCTCTCTTTCCAGGTTTGTCAGAGTTCTGATAAATACTAGTTTATCTCCCGTCTCTGCATAGTAACACAAATGCCCACAGGCATCATCAACAAGAAATAAATAAACATTGCTATTGTGTGAACCCACTGAGAGCCCCCATGGGAGAATCCTGCTGTGGGGAACTGGACCACGCAGTCTAGTCTTTATTTAGGCCCTGGTTCACAGTTGCCACAAGTCCATTATGAATTTCACAAATGGCTCTGATAATTATAGGAGGGGTCAATGCTAATGAGCCGTCCCCGAGCATCCATCTATTAAACCTATTTCAATTTCCAAAGGGGGGCACAATGACTACATTTTCCTGTTTGCTGTAATTATTATGGTACTGATGAAATTTAGAAGTGTTTGTTTGGACTCGAGAGTGTTTCAGGTTTTCATGTGGGTGCTTATACATATACTTATATATGCAGAAATAATACTGTATAGATGAAACAGACTGAGAAGGAGAAGAGCTGCGCACTGAGAAAAGTATTGGTTATAAAAAATAATAACCAGGAAAAAGGAAACATTCTTAAAATTGGTGAGTGCCAGAGATACCTGATAAAGGTTGAAAAGCATGTTTAGATTACTGGCTTCAAAGTCTCTTGAATGTAGTCTGCAAAAATGTTATTCTTCCCTTCAACCGTCCATGAAACAAAAACCAAGAGGCCAAAACAGTCAACACAAAAGACTGGTTTCAGTAAAACCTGAAATACAGAGTGGTACGGTGGCATCAATATGCTTCCAGAAAAAGAACAGATGTGTGTGTTAGAGAGAGCTACTGAAGAAAAATGTGGAGAGGGAACAAAAGTGAGCATACAGCTCTCCTCAGTGGCAAATCAAATCAGCTGTCGTTGTTCCAAAGGCAAGACGAATTGTTTTATTAACTAAGCAGGTAGTTCTTAAGAGCAGGGCCCTGCTGATGGTGAGTAGGTGGAAGGGGGCACAAAAGCACACTGCTGCGACCGTGAATCCACTGTTAAAAACAAAGCCAATGCGATCACTGCAGACGCTGCTGGAATATTATCAAACTCTCCAACAATGATCATTCTTTTGTGACAGATGTATAGTACACTCTAAAATTATACCTCGGAGAGGTTAATAAAGGAGTTTAAGCATGTACAATCTGCAGTGCAAAGACTCTGAGAGCACTAGTGTTCCCAGACACAACCGAGGAAAAAAGTCAGATTTCTTCTTTTTCACACGCATCAGTTTACATGCACGCTGCACGCTGGTCGGCCCGTCTGTGTTTTCCCAGAAGTGGATAATCAGCATATTAGTGTAACTGAGAGGGCGGTTGATCATGAAGGGATTGGACCATGGTTTTAGACCAGGGAGTCCAGACAAGATCCAGGGGGCATCTCCATAACACACACAAGAGAAACATTCCACGTACTCGTAAGCATTTACACACAGCTCTGCAGCCGGGGATGAAGCTTATGATGGTTGATTAGCAGCGCCATGACGGCTGCAAAATGATTACCATGAGAGGGGGAGGCCATCTTTTTTTGCCATGCGGACCCCAACCCCAACGAGACACCCAATAATCAAATCAACTGACGGCATCTCCCAACCATCAACTGCTATGGCATGCGTCCAGAGCTGCCCGATCCATGTACACAGCCTGGGATGAACTTCGGAGACGAGGCTAATGTGATACTGTAGCATGGCATCTCCTCTGCGTTCTGTGCACTTACTTTACTCCGCAGGATTTTGTTAAATCTTTAAACAGGCGCAGACATATCGGCCGCATGTGTCAGACGAGAGACGTAACACACAAGACATAAACAAAAGACTTAATTCTAGCATGTGCTTCTATAGGTGACAGCTGAATGATGTTTTTGTTTTACGGTGCCAATACAATGCAGTTTAAACTGTCTGTGATACGTCTGTCCAGCATGAAAACTCCACCCTATGTTCCATATATTTTTGTTTGTTTTTTTATCTTATCTTCGTCACCCAGCTTTTATCTCCGTCTTCTCTCAGCAGGCGTCTAAATACACTCCCTTGAACCGAAAACCAGGCTTGGAAACATTGTTTACAAGTAACATAAATGCATGGTGTTGGTTAGGCCCGGCTGATAGAAAGACAGCTCTTCTTCGTTGATAGTAGTGGGGAAGAGGGGCCTAGAGGGGCTTCAATAATCCCCTGTCCCTGGCGTCTTGGCATTGTTACTGACAGCCTTCCACCCACCTCAAGCGTGCTTGCACACAGACATACTCACAGACACACCCCAGAAAACACACGCACATACCCAGGTGAGTGCTAGCTGCCAGTGTCTGTTTGGTTTCTAAGAGTGGACACCCACCAGTCCAAGTCCAGAATGTCCACAGAAGCTGGCAGACTGCTATTTTCCCAGCACGCTCCCTTAACAAAGTTTTTTTTTTTCTTTCTTTTTTTTTTTTAAACCTCCAAGAGTCTATGGGGGAATGGGAGTCTTTTTCACACATGAACAGATGCTTCTATCAAAATATCAGAGGGAAGAAGGAATAGAGAAGCAAAAAGGTAGGGAGCGGGAAAAGAGCCGAAACAAGATGGAAGCAGCCCAGAGTGCATTATAGTATGTTAGAGAGTGTAAAGAGAGTGACGATGAGAGAGGAGGAATGCAAAGATGGTCAAAAGAGAGGACATAAGTAAGTCAAGTGAAAGAGGAAAATCTTTCACACCATCTAGTAATTCTGTATGTCAGTACACACATACATCATACATCTTCAACCGCCAAAGCGTCAAAGCCCCTCTCTCTCTCTCTCTGTCTGTCTATCTCTCTCTCTCCATATATGTGTCTCTGTCTCACTGGGAGCAGTGAGAATAAGAGGGAGAAAAGTGATTTCCACATAACAGATTGTTACGACTGTCACTATATCCCCTGATTTACACAGTCACGGAGGGGGAGGCAGACAAATGCATTTTCACTGTTTACATCCCCCCCCCCCACACACACACACACACACACACACACACAAACCCACTTGCATACAGACTCAAACACACACTAGAATCTAAGTAAAATTTCTCTCACAGAGATACAACAGAAAAGTAAGCATGCCATCCGACCCCCTGCTAAATCTATTACTCCTGACACATCTTGTTGGAATGGAGTCCTACCTGGCAAAAACAGCAGCAGGCACACCAGCTTCAAATATATTACACTCATATACCAACCAAAATGTATTGTTCGCAAACATATTTGCATGAAATCGGGGCAAGCCGGATGAAAAAACAGCTACTAAAGTGGTTTGTTTTGTCTTGCGCCTGTTCTTTTCATAAGGTTTGCCCGGATGAACACTTGAAAAACAATGCATTTGTGTTTCCAGCTAGCGCCGACGGTGCTGCATCTCTACTTTTCTGTATCCATTTGTTTTGTGTTCATGAGACACGGGTGTGCAGAATAATCATCTAGACTGTCTCATCAAATCATTTCTCCATCAAAGTTCAGGAGGAAAATAACACATCACAAAGTATGAGCATTATAAGGTTTTTACAATGTCAACTGTAAAAAAACGAATCACATCTAAACCAAGGTCTAAACAGACTTTTTTTCCCCCTGTTTTGCCCCCATATCATTTCCATTCCCCTCCACAAAACCAAAATGAGGTTTAGATACAAAGCCTGGGCCATGGGTTCCTAATAGATTTACCCTGATGCCACGGCCACCATTTATCCTGCTCCAAAGCCGCACAATGCAACGGAGTGCTCCTGAATAGCATGGGCAATTACAGTGCATGTGTGTGTTTTTTATGTCTGTGTGTGTGTGTGTGGGTGCCTCGCTCTCTCTTTTTCCAATTCCAAAACCCCCACTACTCCATCTCACCGTCCTCTCACACACACTCACACACACAGACCTTAAAGCAGATGTAATAACATGAAACTACGCAGCCATGTGCACTTTGCTCTTTGTAGAAGCCTAGGTGGGTTACGCAATGGGCAATGGGAGAGTTATCTTTTTTGACTTACCCTAACATTTTATTACCCATCATTATGTATCATTAAATACATACATATTAATGTAAAAAAACAGGGGTGATGGGAATGGGGGGAGGAGTAAGTGTGAAATTGGGGGTATATCTACAAAGAAGGAAACACCTGAAAGAGGCCTTTGGTGGTTTGATGTCTCTATGCCATATAATTCAAGTATGAACATTGCTCTGAATTTTTTACACCAAAGGATTCAGTCATAGGTTTGTTTATAAAATGCAAAATAACACTAGAAAGGTAGTTACACAAGATCAAAGGGATACATAATACATGCTTTGGTATGAGTCTTTCATAAGCTTACTACTTAGCAGTTGGCTTGATATTAATGAGAGGAGATACATTTGTGGCTTAGAGACTCAGCAAAGCAATTTTACAGTCAGATCAGCAACTTCTGCTACAGATATTTTCAAACAGTCATTTTGTGAAAACTCTATGGCTATATTTGCCCTCTATCTATCACATTATGTGTCACACAATTTACAACAGCAGTTATTCCATAAGCATACCCTCCAAGGTGCGAGGATTATCTAATAAATTCAGTTTCGCCTAATATTAAAAGAAAAACACCAAAACACCAACCCATCTTTCTTCTGATCCACCACTCCAGCCAGCAGCTTTGTGGCCTCATCCGACAGACGGATATCTGTGTGGGCATGGAGGAAACGGTTCACAAAGTCCTGCGGCGACATGAAGCAGTCGCCATTCTTCTTGACGCTGGCATACTGTAAAGAGAAAAACAAATACAGACACAAGGACGCACGCTGAGCTTTAGAATTTCATCAAAAAAGAAAAAGAAAAAACCATAAATCGAATGATAAGTGAAAAGCTTCTTTCACAGGAGCAAACACAAAAGAGAGAACAAAAAATACATAGGTAAACTCCTACCTTTTCAAAAATGGCTTTCAGCTCAGTGGGGTCGGCCCTCCTAGGCAGAACTGCCTGCAAGACAATGAGTGAGCATTGTGTGAATACAACTTTCATCCACACCAAGAGAACATGACGGCCCACTTTGCATCGTACATCATTTGAGCAACTTTGTAAAGCAGATTTTTTTCATTTGAAGCGAAGAGAAAGATTAGAAAAATTTAAAATAAACTGACAAATTAAACCTAATTTTGCGCTTGTATCCCTTTGTGGCTCCTGCTCAGGTATTATTACATGAAGCTCTGTCTTCAGGTCATGTGATGACACCTGAGCAAGTCACTGAGAAAGGCAGGAGATTTAGATTTAGAAAGGTCTAGGAAAAGCTAGTAAGTGAACACATAGTTGAAGGGCCCCTCCAGACATGTATGAAGAAATATACAAATAGTCTGCCTTTAACAATAATGTGTCTCATATGTTTTTTCCACAATAAAAGTGAAATTTCTACATTAAAATCTTTGCATGAATATTAAACTGTATGTGCACTGGTGGCTTCAACTTTCCTCATCCACATAAGTTGAACACTGGACCAGAGTTGACTTCCAAACTATGTATGATGTCACAAATGTTGCTGGCAGGCCCCGCCACAGAGAAACTTTCCACTTTCAGCAGATGAATGTGTAAACATCCTACAAGTGTCAAACTCTGCACATACATCATTCTGCACAGTGACTGTCAAACAATAAACTGTAGGAAGAAAAGAAAAAAAAAAACATTTTTTTGAGTGGCGGGCCGACTTTAAGTTAGTTCAGCAGAGAAATGTGCCTTGTTTTCTTGCGTTTTTTAATCATCTTATGACCTATAAGATTCATACTGTGGCCACTTGGAGGGTCCCAACCCCTGTTTGGGAACCACTGAATATAGAAGATGATGCTGGGGTGATATTTTAAAAACCAGAGTTAGAAGTTGGTGTGAGTGTATAAATGAAAACAGTTTGTGAACACACTGGCTGTACACAGTGAAACAGTGCAACCATGTTAAAACGTCTCCTAACGCCTGTAGAAACTTCTGGCACTTGCCCAGAGTTCATGACACGGTTGCCATAAAGCACAACGAGATGCTAACCAAGGTTACCGGCGAGAACAGCCGGCTTTTTTATTATTAGCAGAGACAGAAGTAAACCGAGGACGAGGCCTGAAAGCAGCAAGGTGGAATAAAAAAGCAGAAACGGTGTCATTACTGTGCTTTGCATCACTGTACAAACGACAGCTTAGTCAGTTTAACTAAGGAACCGTTCGCTAAATGTACATTAACTAGCTAACCGGCTACAGTAAAGCCTCAATGTCATTGCCGTGTGGTCAGTGTTAACCTCTAGCACATCCTCTTAGCAGGCTAACCGGCAGTCAACGAGCCCTCCGGGAGGATATCCTAACAGGTGGAGACCTCCGGAGGACACACTGCCGGGACCGAGCACACCGCCGACAAGGAGACAACTCCCCAGAAAGAGGAGAAACTGATGTTCAAACTCATCAGCTTACCTTTGCTGCCATGCTTAGCAAGCTCACTGTCAAATAGTCCCGTTCACTTCCTCCTGCGTGACGACGTTCCCATGGAGATCACGCGCCGGTGCAGTGAAAGGAGGATGAAAGAGGATCAGCTGTGCACGTGGTGTGGGGGGGCAACTGGTCAGTGGCTTGTGCATGTCAGATACATCCATTGATCCTTTATTGTGTGTGTGTGTGTGTGTGTGTGTGTGTGTGAATGAGAGAGAGAGTTTAAAGTAAACTTGATCAACACAATGTGAAAATGAGAGTGCCATATAATCTATCCAACTGTGTTTAAAATGACACAAACAATGGAAAGACTAAATCAGCACCTGTCCCATCCCAGGGTGTGTGACCATCATGGATGGATTAATGAATGAGCCTACAGGACAGGAAGTGTCTCAGGGCCCCTCCACTCAGTTAAAACTACAGACATCCTGATCGCTTTGTTTAATCCTGATTCTTCAGTATTAAGTGTGTGACATATTGAGTTATACTGACCCCCATCTACAATTATTTTCTCAGGATATTTTTGTTTATATTTTCCTTTTAACTGCAGAATGCATACTACAGGACAGAGGCTAGGTAACCCTACATTAAAGTACTTCCAATGGTCCTGCTTGAAGAAATCTGCATCACAGGTTTCTTTTAATGGTTTTCTATAATATTTTGTATGTTTTAGTATTTTGTATCTGTTAGGGAGGAGTGTCAGTGTGGATGGATTTGGAGATAGCCTCTCTTTATCCCCAAACTGGACTAAAATACCAATAACAAAACATAAGATTAACATGCAGAGCAACTGCTGACAATGTGGGTGGTTGCTCTGGTATTAAGAGATGGGGCCTTTTACATCTCTGTGCCCGGGGGCCCATTAGGTCATAGTCCATCCACGGTGATCATGTAAACTTCCTTCTTGGATTTTCATTCTTACCAGTGCATGTGTTATGGCAAGTGTTTACTGTGATGTGATTTTTGGCCTCCAGTAGCGGCGAAGTATTTCAAAGTTTTTGCTGCACTATTCACTCGAATCTTTATTATATATTAAGAAATAACATAATGTGTGGGTTTATTCTTATGCACATTGAGTCTCCACTCAACTAAGGAACGGTCTGTAGACATCAGAATAAAAGCCTTAGTTCCTTCCTCACACCTATTCTTTCCTCACAGTAAATGGTTCCTATACTTTATTTCCAGCTTTTCCAGCCCATCTGTGCTTTGTGCCAGGAGGGAAAAAGGTGCAGAGAGAATTTCATGACTACAAAAGCAAAGGTTAACATTACTCACAGCATAAAAACAATTTAAAAGGGAGCAAAAGGGCTCTAATGGCCCGACAGTCTTCAAAGAAAATGTATTTTGCGCTCAAAATAATTCATAGCTTTTTGCCGGTGGCTTTTCAGCTTCCCGGAGACCCAGCATGAACCACTGTATTTTTCCCAGCAGGCTCTCTGCTCCTCGCAAAATGGCCTTCGCTAGGGCATACCTCGCATCCCCTCCAAATATTGACAGCACTGAGTCCATCGCTTATTGGAAAAATGGCTGTAAGTAATGTTTTATCAGCCGATGCAATCTCCACACCTGTATTTTCCCCTGTCATATGACAATATTTGACAAGATTAATGATTTGATCCCATGACATTTTATTTCCCATCACTGTCAATCTGCCAGCAAACAACTCACTTACTTGTGGCATTTGGTGTAGGAAGCATGTAGCAGCATTTGCTTCGCTCGTGTATTATTCATGAATTGCTAAATTTACTTGAGACATGTAAACTACAGTGACTCGTAGATTTTGACATGAAACTCTTGACTGTTTATTTTTAAAAGAAAAAATCTTTGACAATTACCTTCAGTGAATTGATTTTGCTTTTTTAGAACAGCATTTCAGCGTCTATTTTTAGCAATCAAACCAGCAATGAGTCTGTCAACCGCCACAGAGTAAGTGGGTAATAATGATAAACCTTGCGACCTTTGAACTTCAGTGGCTTGAGGGGTCTCCTGCCCACGTCCCCAAGGGCCCACGCGTCCTGACAGCTTGAGCGATGAGTGGCGGACGGCTGTCTCAATCCGCCTCCTCCTATTTTTAACCCACACTAAACACAGAGCTTCCAAAATAGGTCCGAGCTCTAAACAAATGATTAATAGGGCACTTAGGGTCTCCCCACTGACCAGCATGTCCCTATTAACAGCCAATAACGGAGGCCCTCTGGGGTCAAAAGGTTTAAAGACTTTCTAATAAAAGTAACAGAGACATGGGGATGTGTTTTGGAGGAGAAAAAGTTGTGTCTCAGTTTGAAATGCTGACAAGTTAATAATCCCTTCTCAAATGGCCCTACCGCAGTAAAATGGCCAGTTTGTTCGTACTTTTATTGCTATCATCTGTCAGTCACTCACATCTTTCTTCTGTTTTTTTTCTGCCTCTTCTTAAGTGGACTGAAAGAGCTAAAACAGCTTTATAGTAATGTTCTCGCTGGGGCTTTATTCTCATTCCCCCACTCTTTCTTTTCTTTTTTGCTTGAATGTGAATTCTTATTGTAGTTTTAGGCAGGAAATGCCTAATGGATTCCCAAAGACGTATTCATGACATGGTAATGAGATTCAAATTTGTAAGACATTTCTGACCTGAAAAAAAGAGGCAGCTAGTGGCAATGGCTTTGTCCTGTTTTCCACAACTCAAGTATACTGTTTCTTAGTCACTCTCACAATTCCTAATGTCATTTTAAAATGTATGGGCTGCAGACACAAAGCCAAAAAGAGTTAAAATGTGGAAACAACTGAGGAATATATTAATCTGTCACTTACTGCCAAAACAGGATTTCCTAAAGCATAGGTCAAAGGCAAGTTGCACTGTATTATCCTACAATAAATCTGTTGTTTTTAAGGTACAAAATGTCATCCATTTTTTAAAATCAAGAAATGAGTATGACAGTTACAACTCATACATGCTAACCAATATGAGTGGACTGAACACTTTGAAAGTGCAATTTTTTTCCTGTGCTTTATAACACTGATTAGAAATATTGTGAAACATTGCAAAGTTAACTATGGATCACTGTTACCAAAGGTTTTTTTTTTTGCCTTCCTAATTATAATAAATAATAATACATTTAATTTGAAGCGCCTTTTAACCCAAGTACACATTAAATAAAGAAAGCAACCACAAAAAGTGGTTGATCAATTTCACTGATATACAGTTGAAATAATGTTGTCTTATATGTTGCTCATTTTGAGTCAATCCCACATACACTGTCCTGAAAAACTTGATAGAGTACCAATATATGTCTGCTGCTGAAAACAGTCCCAAACAAATGCATTGTTCCTCCTGTTTGTGGAACATTTGCCAAAAATTCAATGCCCAGCTGTTTTAGGAAATTACTGAGCCTTTTAGTTTTTTTAATTTTATATTTGTGAGAATACTGTGAAATAATATCAGATCTATCTTTTAAACATCAGTCAGAAAGGGCAGATTGTTAATATAAATGCCAGGATGCAGTGTTTGTTTTCTTTGATTTATTTAACTCGTACAGAACACAAACTACTTTCTAAAAGTTAAAAAATGTAAAACTGGAGATAAATTAGTTTTTTTATACTATCAGATTGAATACCGAATTTTATGTCCCCAATTGGGTGGCCCAGACATAACCCACATCTTAATTCTTCCAAGACTCACTTTTTTGTTTTGTACAATTTTAGCTGATGTTCTTAATTGGATCTGTCGTTGAATGTCTTGCTCAAGGAAACATCAGCAGGACACATGGCTGCTGATGGACACAGTGGCTACAAACCTGCAACCACTTGATTCTAACCATCTTACTTCCCCCTCTAATTAAGTATGTTTCATATAAGAACCAAGATTGATGCCAGAGCCGTTCCAGTTGTGCTGCACTTTTGAAAAAAACACAAATTCGGAGATGAAAACACACCCATTGTGCAATGACAAACCATTGCAAACTTCACTTTTGCCAGAGTGGGATTTTTATATAACTTAGAAGTGTCACCAAAACCACACAGTAGACAGCCTGCCCAGATAGTGTAGGACGACTCAGACAAATCTGTTTTGCATAAAGGACAAGAAGGTGGCGAGAAGAGAAATGATGGGAAAAAACATCATGGCAGGGCCATTCTTACGAAATCAGGCTTCTCATCCAGATAAACTGTACGTACAAGACTTAAAGTGCTTCTGATATTTGACGTTTTTCATGCTTCTTTATGGTGGACTACCTCTTCCAAAACACTGTTTGTGCTAATACATAAAAGCTGTTATGTCCTTTCTTTATCAGTCATATAGGGAGACTATTAGCAAAATAATAGAGTTCACACTGTTTGCATAGTCTCTGCTGTCTGTCTAACAACAAAACAATGCCTTTTATAATCTACTTTCATTTCTCCAATCAGTTGGTTGTCAAACACTATCCTTAATCATTATACATAACATGCACTGCATTAAAGTGGCATTCTTGTAAACACCATATCTGTAATAGCGTGTGACAAGCCGCCTTTGTTTACACCATAATAACTGGGTGTTTGAATAACTTCTCAATGACTTTAAGTAACCAGCCAGACTCACTCTGCTTCCATTCAGCTGTGCAGCCTGATAACCCGGACTGACGTTTGGCATGGAGTGGACTGCGGATTATACCAAACAGAAGGGCTGAATGGACCTCTCAGTCATTTCACCTGCGGTCTTGAGACATGGGAGTGCATTTCCTGTGCACACACTGCGGATGTAGTGTACATCCGCTTGTCTCATTATGCAAATGTTGACGTGTGCATTCATAAACATGTGAGACGCGTAAAAGTTAGCTATCAGCCTCTCTCTCTCTCTCTCACACACACACACACACGTTTATTTGAAGCACCAGCCTTGCTTCCTATGCAGACTTTCCCTCTTTTCCATCTGCCATGAAACTCTCCTAAACCTCAAGTCGGGCTGTCTTTGCTGTAGCTTCTGGATGAATCTGTTTAGTATCTTTCAGTTCAGATGAAGCACTACACTAACCATGCTTCAGGGCATCTGGGATGGGCCTGGGGTGGATGGAAGCTTTGAGATGGTCCAGACAGGCTAG